CTGTATGAAGTTACCTGATATCAGTGAGAGCTGCAAAAGATGGTCATATGTGTCGATCCAGAGTATGCAGGCCATGTGGTCTGTGATTACAGTGCTGGTTGGACTCAAACCGCATTGAATGTAGCTTAGGGTACCAAAATGGACGTCCATGATTCTGGCGACAGCTCTATAGCGCCTCCCTGCACCTGGCATTGTGATGGTGCACATATCAGACTGACATTTCATTGGTACCATAATAAGGAACATCTGTCTAGTGATTCTGCTGCTCAAGTCATTTTGATATTTCATACAATGCACTTGTGTGAAATATCAAAATGACTTGAGCAGCAGAATCAATGCCAAATTTGAGTTACAAAAAGATCCTGGATGTTTGTTTATTTTTTTTTGTTCAGTGTACTCCTACCCGAGAGCCTGTTATTTGTGGAATGGGGATGCATAATTTTGGGTGACGGCGAGACTGTGGTTGGAGTATATGACCAATCCACAGGCAGCCTCACACTGGCAGGGAAGAGGAGCGATGGGGATGGCTTCAGTGTCTCCAGAATCCAGTCACTGACTGTGCCTTTGCTGTACAGTGAGCCTCTGCATCCGGACCCTGCTAACGTTCATAGGCCGTGATTGTGGTGCGTTCTGTTCGTTGTTCTAGGCCGACCGATACAGGCTACACTCCCATCACACGCCCGTCTCCTTGGCTCTGCCACCCTACAGACCTCAGCATCCCACTTCAGCAGTCTCTGAGTCCTGCAGCGGGCACCAGTTAACTCTTTCTTGGTCGTCTACAGAAGAAGCTTTACAGAGACTGCAATTCAACCCACCTATTGCTTCCTGAGGATGTGATGTGAAACTTGGCATCTCTATGTACCTTTATCCTGGATGGACCAAATATTCATGAACCAAGAATCATCGCACTTATTAGCGCTTCGTGTGGACAGTTAGCAGTGGTTTCCCTCTGTATCCAGAACAGCTTACTGCTTTGCTTATGTAAATAATGTAAAGCAATAAGATGACACTGCTCTTCTGTTAGGTAGGACCATAGTGTTAATGAAGTGGTTTTGTTTATAGATTGTATCATGGACAGAAATATAAAACGGTGGAAGGAACAGGGATATTATTGAATTATGTTTCAATATTTTCATTTATAATAAAAGTAATACCCAAATAATTCTGAAACCACTGTGGTATTCGCTACCTACCAGTGAGAGGCAGCTGTCACTATTCCCCCCATCCTATCAGACAAAGTAGCAGTGCTATTCTCAATGATGTATATTGCTCCAAAACCTGTACTTTCTGCTTTTCCATCCATCCATTTTCTGAAACCACTTAATCCCTATGCTTTTCCATGTATAAAATAAAGTGCTGTTTAGCAGAAATTAGGGCGGTGTCCTTATTTGTTGCTGACACACAGTTTACCAAACATTATGGCGAATCATAACTTATACAAGATGAAATTCCAGCACTCTCCTTTTCATATGAACTGTATTTTTTTTCCACTCACAGAAGGAGAATGGAATTGGAATGAAAACCACCCAGACAGCAAGGCCCTGAGAAGAGCCCTTTAGCATGTACAGTGAGGGAAATATAAGAATTCAACAGGGGGTCAACTAATTAAGTTGACCTATTTATAAAGAAATGAGAAGTCTATAATTCAATGGTAGATTTAACATCAGAAGACAGATTTTCAACAAAACAAGAAAAACATCATTATGTAACTAGTACAAATCAATCTGTCATTTATCTAGGGGAAAAAGTATTTGATCTCTTGGAACACATGCTTTAGTAGTTGGTGAAATAACCAGTGTTTGTAAGCACAGCTGTCAGACGTTGTAGTTGGTCACCAGGTTTGCATGCAGGTCAGCAGGAATTTTCATCCACTCCTCTTTGCAGACCTCCAAAACTTTAAGGTTTTTAGGCTGTCACTTTGGAGACCTGCTGCGGATATGGGTCTGGCCTGGCATGAGATTTACACCCACTGCCCTGGATTTTCAAGGGCAAGCAAAAGTTCACCAGACACCACCGGAACGGCGAGGCTTTCCAGACTGACAGTCTTTCTTGAACGTTAAAAATGCTCTCAATTCAATGTATCTTTATATAGCACTTTACATGGATGTCTTGTGATACATTACAACATCATTAGAGAGATTAATACAGAATGGGAAAAAGGAAGGAAAGAAATTAAATAAAGAAAGCCAGATGACAATGGAGGAGAGGAACCAAAAACTCCCAAGTAAGGAGATCCAAGGTCAACTGGCTGCCCAACCCCCCTGGGCATCCTAACATTACTGAAAAGGTAAGTACAAGCTGTGATTAAGAATGAAGACAAAGTCCATCAATGAGTCCGTTATCCACGCTGGGCTGTGTTGGGCGGCCATGAAGGCTTCACCTAGATGATAGTTCATAGGTCCCATTTGCGATGTCACCCCTCCATGGGACTGAACCAGGAATCCAGCTCCAATTAACTTTTCCCTCAGCAGCTCAGTCCATAACCTAGGTGTCATCTTAGATACAAAGCCTCTCATTTAAATCACATGTAAATGCAGTATCGAAGGCGTGCTTCCTACTGCTACGCCAAATCGCGAAACTGCAATGATTTCTTAAATAGGTTGACATTTCTTTCTAAGGTAAAACCATGTGTCTGTTCTCATTGTAAAGCACAAATACAAATACTAAGCTTTAATTTGCTGTTTGATGTACCAGTGTGGCCTGTTTTGTGGGGTCAGGACAAGCTTGATTCATTTACCTATTTCAGGCTGTTGCACAGACTGTCAGTCCCCATGTCCACATGCCTCAGTCATGATAATCTTAGTGAGTGACCTGCAGGGATCACACCTGTAATATTTCAGGCTTTGTTCTTTGTAAACAAGGATTAGCTCGCACACGTAATCAGTGTCCAAGCATGGAAATCCAATCAGTCAAGGCCTCGCCATTCATGAATGAGCGACCAATTGCAGTCGGTGCACAAATAATAAGAAGGGAATTTCACATTGAGAGGGTTTTGCGCGATCGGCAAGATCCTTTATTGTTGCCGGATGATATTCTTTTCAAAAGATACTACTTCAGCCGAGATGGAATATTCCATCTTAAATTTATTAGCTCCGTATAGTAGACGTCCAAGTAGGCGAAGACGGGCTCTCACAGCCACACAGACAATGTGCATTGCCTTGAGATTTTGCAAGCGGGACTTTTTTGTATACTGTAGGAGTGTAGGCGATTGCAGGCAATTAAAGACACATTTTATGCTGTTGCAAGTAATGTATAGGCTACGCAATAAAATTACAGTTCTATAAAGAATTTAAAAATCATACTAATATTCTCATTACCCAGAATTTCAAAATGTTTTGTCTGCCTTCTTCTTATTAGCTTCAAACAGAATGTTTTATGAATATTAAAGATATCCTAGCTACATTT